TCATGCACAGACATCGACGATTGTTATTAGTGTATTTTATGCACACGATTTAAAGGGGAAAGGGGGGGTGGTGCGGAGAGGGAGAATTTCGTACAGAAAATAAAGGGACCAAAGGAACAATTTAGATGTCACTGTATACCAGCTGCGTTTGCTTCATTAATCGACTGTCATTTTTTTTCCCCCAGACTGTGCGCCTGAATGTGACGCTAAGTGACTCTACGTTGTCCCAGAGAGACAGGCAAGGAGGGTAAGGGGAGGCAGAGGAGGAACTCAGGCCTCTGCCCACGTGTCCTCTGGGCCTCCTTCCCTGAGAAGGTGAAACAGAGGAAACCGTGGCCTCCCCAGTGGGGGTCAAGACAGCTTTTGGTACCAATTTCTAGCCAGTCACCTTCTCTCACAGTGAGAAAGGAGATCCCCTACTTGTCTTTATATGTCATTCCTTTCTCAGATCCAGTTTCTACTAACCAAGGAGTAGGAGAAGGAAACTGGGTGAGGCTCTAAAAGTCCCCATCAGGGGTGAAAGGAGAACCCCTATTCCTGGTGGTGGGGCAGTGAGGGGCTGTGTCACGGGCCTTGTGTGGCTCTCGGCCCTGGAAAGGGAGGGAGCAGAGCCCTTGGGTCCCGCACGAGCACATGGCAGGGATGGACGTTGCCTCTCAGACGGCATGGAGGGCAGAGGCAGGCTGACAGGGCCACGATCACGAACAGGGCCTGGGTGGTGGCAGGAAAGGCAGGATGGCAGGTGTTAGGGGTTTAATCGGTCCCCCCCAAATTCATATGTTGAAGTCCTAAGCACCAGGACTTCAGACCGTGACTTTCATTGGAGAGAGTCTTTATAGAGGTAATTAAATCAGAGTGAGGTCAGGAGGTTGGGCCCTGACCCTAACGCCTGATGTCCTTATAAAAAGGGGGCAATTTGGATGTAGAGACCGGCACTGGAGGCAGGTGATGTGGAGACACACAAGGAGAAGGGAGCCGCCTATCAGCCAAGGAGACAGGCTGGAATAGATGCTTCCCTCCCGGTGGCAAACTCCTAGGGCGGCCAGGAGTGACGTGCTCTGCCGTCTGGGCTCAGGGATTGTTCTTTGGGACAAGAGGGGAGTGTGTGCGTGCCCGCGCAAGCACGCACTTGGGTAAGCCATCGCGCGGCCTTAGGGATGAAGATCCTGTGGCATCTCCGCAGGGACCGTAGGCTGTGAACATGTGCCCTTTCACCCAGCTGAACCCAGGGGCCCCGAGGACGCACTCGCTCCGCCTCTCACCACTTTCTGCCCGGTGGGATGAGAACCTTGCCCATCTCTCACCTCTCGGGCTCGTCCTGCAGAGGGTCCCTATCCTTTCTGCCTCCCCTGGCCTCTTCTGCTCCCGCCTAGAAGAGTCCACGTGTCACTTGCAGACCCCAAGAACCTTCTGGGATGCCTTGTGACTCCCAGCCAGCAACCTCCTTCCATTCCTGCTGATTCTCCTCCGGCCCCGTCCCAGGGCCACAGCCTTTTCACTCCAGGGAGGGGTTCTCTGGTGCTTTTTTTCCCAGGTCTCCCAGTGAGCTCTGATGGAGCCCTGGAAACAGCACCAGCTCTCCCAGGGCCTTAGCAAAACATCCAGTGTTTGTCTTCCCCTCTCATAGGCTATAAAAGCTTGGAATTGTCTCCCTGAATTATGAAGGGTTCCAAAGACATGTACTCACTTGAGGGGTGGTGGAGGGGAGGGGGCTCGGCTCCTTTCTGGGGCACTGGCTGGGCTGGCTTTGCAAAGTCAAAACAAGATTCATTACCTTGGGGCCAGAAGCAGGGAGATACACCGTCTGACCCTGCAGACCTGCCCCATATGTCATGGGCCTGTCAGAAATCTCCCAGAATTCCCTTTATTATCTAAAGGTCGCCACCCGGGCAGCACCGAGAGAGCCCATGGAATAAACTAAACTACAAGAGCAATCAATTTCCAGCAGCTGCCTTCCCGGCCACCCTGACCCCCACTCCCTTCCCTGGGCTCTGCCCTTTCAACCCCCTCTGGGGGAAGGCCAAGGAGGAGCATGCTGTGCCCTGGCCACCTCACTCTTGGGGCAGAAAGAATTTCTGTGAATTAGCAGGGCTCTGAGGCAGCAAGCAGTCGGCCCTGGGAGCTCACCTGTGCTCCACACTATGGGGGGCCTAGGTCCCCCCTCTTTCTAGGTCACCCCTCTTCTCCCCTGATTCCATGCTTTATCCTGTTTAAACCATCCTAGTCATGAGATGCCATTCTGATGGGCATTATGGGATGGAAAGACAGGGAAAGAAATTTCCAGGCTCCTTCCAAAGGCAGGAATAAGAAGAAAAATGGAGATGTGGTGTTGCTAAATCCAGTCAAAATTCTTGCTGGGGGACCTCACACCCTAAAGGCCATGAGGAGCATCAGAAACTCCCATCTGTTTCCTATAACAAATCTAATAAAGAGAAGCTACCATTATTATTTTTCCTATTAATTATTTACTATTTTTACTATTCTTATGATGCTATGTGGCACTATGCTAGATTCTTTGTAGATGCAATGGATCATTTTGTGATTATCTTGCAAGATGGGGTTTTAGTCTCCCCATTTCACAGATGAAAGAACTGAATGTCAGGAAGGTTGAGTATCTAGACTAATATTGTTCTGCTAGAAAGCAGACCTTTCTGATGCTCATGTATTCCCTACTATTCCATATTGCCTAGATATTTAGAACTTATTTTTCAACCCAATCCTCTTATCACTGGTCTGGAAAGACTCATGGGAATGTTAAATAAGACTTGGCAAGTACTTTATTTTAAAGGTCAAAACTTGAGGCTCCCACTTTATTTTGGTAATGGAGCAAGGTTGGGGCAGGGGGTGGTATGGGTTGAAGTGTCTGTTATAAGGTGCAGTCAGGGCGTGTTTTGTGGCAAGAGGTTTGCTAGCTGGCAGTCACCTTTCAGAGAAATTCCAGATGACCTTTCCAAGGAGCCTGGAGAAGTATCTCCTGCCTTCTCACCCCTCCCTTACTGTGCATGGAAGATCCCGGAGAGCAGGAGACAGGGTGAAAGTGCCCAGGTAAATGGTTAAACAAATTACAGTTATTCCACATAATGGCATATTATGCTGCCATTAACGGTAGTTTTCAAAGAATAATGACACAGCTCCAATTCACAGCAGTGGGAGGGGAAGGGAGGAAAAAAAAAAGGGAAGAAAAGATCCAAACAAAAAATGAAGCATTCATCTCAGCTCTCAGGCAATGGGCTGGCCCCAAACCTCACATACTTTCCCCAGAAGCTGTCCATGTCTTCTCCTCTCTAAGAAAATTTTAATGGCCCTGAGAGCCCCGGGTGAGAGAACATCTTGTTTCTCTTGCAGATCCTCCTGCCTTTCTGGCCCCAAGGGCTCCCAGGGCTGCCCCTGAAACATTCCCATCATTGTGACTTCATGCTCACGTCAGGGAAATTGTCCACAAATGCCAGGTCCAGGTGCACTTTTTCACACTGTCCATTTCCAGAAGTCAGGGTTCCCCAAAGTTCAAAAGAGGGGGTCTGCTTTACCAGCAAGCCTGGTGCTGCCTCCCTGAAGGGGTGCATTTGCATAAGGTTGTCATAGAGATGATCTGCTGAGAGGGACCTGCTGACAGCCGTCGGCAGCTCAGCCTCAGCCATGCCCTGCCAGGTGTGCCCCTCATGCTTCGGTTCTTGGGCCTCAGACACCTTGTCTAAATTCGCCAGGCACACGGCCCCATTGTGATCGAGATCCGCCTATGCAAACACCTGTTGCCCAGATAGACTCAAGGCTGGGCTGCTCAATGCCTACATTCAAATCCTTCCCAGGCTGGCTTTTCATCTTTCTCTGGCCTCCCCGCCCATCTCTCCCAGAGTGACTCCACTCGCAACAAACTGGTTCATTTGTTGAGTCCCCAGAATACCTTGCATAGCTTCACCTCTGTAGTCCCCTGTCCTTGGAACCCTGCCTCCCCCATATTCTTTGCCTATCCAAACTGTCTGTTCTTCAAAGCCTCGTGGAGCCACTAGACTCTCCCAGCCCCCAATCACCTGCCCCTCCTCCAAAGTCAATGAGCAACTGAGGCTTTTAGCACACACTTGCATTGGGTGTTAGCTGTCTTTCGTTATGTGACTGTGTCCTGTCTTCCCATTGAATTAGATGCCCTTAGAGGACAGGAACAGTACTGTGTGTGCTTTAGTGTCCCATGCAGGGCTAGCACGATGCCTTTCCCTCAGGACCATGCTCTGTCTGAATCATGCAGAGCAGGGGAGAGGGGAGACGAGGGTGCTCTCAGCTGCTAGTCTGCCCTAAAACATTTGAACTAACACACCTGGCTCAATGATTTATCGTAACTAAACTTTTGGAGGTAATGAAGAAGAAAGTGAACTCTTTGGGAAGGATCCTGGCTATGGTTCATCTTGAACCCAAAGGGTGAAGAGCAAATGTCATTGGCTAGGTGGGTGAGGATGGAGAAGAATGGGAAGATACCAGCTCTGTTTTTGAAGAATGCAAAATGCAGACAGGGCTTGTGCAGGGGAAGTCTTGGCAAGAGACCTCTAAAGGCATAAATTGTGTTAACATCATAGATCACAGAGAAAGCATGTAACAAGAAAAGGCCGATTGACAACATAAAGTGATCAAGAGCAGAGTGGGGTGGGGTGAGATTCCCCTAGGGAAGTTTCAGAACAGGACTCTCTCTAAGGTCAGACTCACTGTGGAGCACGCTGCCAGGCAGCAGGTGCAGGAAAAAGCCCATGGGCTTTGGAGGCAGACCTGGGCTCAAGTTTTCTTCCCACTTCCCAGGTCCGTGACCTTGGATATGCAGTTTAACCTTTGGCACCTGTTTCCTCTGATGTAAAAGGACACCTCACAGAATTGTAGTGGGAATCAACAAGACGATGGATGTAAAAGTGTTTTGTAAACTCTACAGCTCTGAATAAACACCAATGACTCCTGTTTCTGCTTTTGGAAACACCGCACAAGGGCATTATCTCCTTGGCAGCAACTGCCACCCTTTATGATGGTGACACAGGCTGAGGGCTCTGTCTCAACCAGGTGAGGGGAGGTGCTGGTGTGCGGGGAACGTGGTGGCCCAGCTTCCAGCCCTGGAGACCCCGGCCTCTCGGAAGGAGCTGCATCTGCTGACCCCAAGTAACCACCTCCCCAGTCCCCAGGCCACCGCCCGTCTTCTCTCACGGCCTGTAGGGTGATTCAAAGACCACTTCTGCTGCCCTTGGTGATTCATCCAGGTGCCTTTGGCAGGAAGGAAGGAGGAAAAGAGGAAAGAGGAAAGCTGGCCCGCAGGAGGAGACGGGGCTGGGGGCGGTTTCCACGGCTGGGGCTCTTTGTTCTTTGGGCCCTTCCCCAGTAGAGTCCGGCCAGCATGGGGATGAAGTTCTCCTCCCTTTATCTCCCTCTGCCCCTCCTCTCCACTGCTTTTCTGAATCAACCGCCAGCCTTTGAATAAAAAGCTTTAATTCCTTTATGAGGAAGCTTCTTAAGCAGGCTGGGTCCCCACCCTGTGCCCTCCCACCTTAAGTTTCTATTATTTTTCTCTCTTTGTCTGAGATTCAGCGCTCTTGCAGAAAAGATCCCGAGCTGTCAAGCAGCCTCTCAAGTAACAGGCGGGTTCACACTCACACACACTGAGCAAGGACAGCGCTGCAAAGCTGGGTGAAAGGGACACGTGAGGTCTGCGGGGTGGACGGCACTCTGGGCAGAGGTCTGTCCACTGCAGGGGCTTGTCAGTGTCAAGAGGCACATGCACTTGGTCTTGGGGACCCTTAACATCTGAAGTGGCATCAGCCCCTTGGCAAGCAGGCGGGAGAGCAGAGCCTTTTGAGGCTTCCAAGGCCCCAGCAGCTCTGGACGTCTGGGACCCACTGCGAGGGAAAGCGAAGCGCACAATGATCAGAGAGGCTGACGCAGGGAAAGAATGTGCTGGAGGGAAAGCAGGGGGTGCGGGGTGCAGCAGCGTGGGGGGACCCGGGGTGGGAGATGAGAGAGGCTCCCTGAGTGAGAACCTGGCCCCTGGTGATGAATGGGGTGTGAGAGAGGAGTCTGGCAAAGGGTAAACAGCCAGGAGGGAAGCAGGAGGGAGGAGGGGCTAGGAGAAAGAATGTTCAGGTCAAAGAGCAACGAAAATGCTCCTGGGGTGATTGCTTCAAGATCCAACATGTTGCACACTCGGATGGGTGCACACGTGCGTGTAGATGCACTCGGCCACCCTGCCAAGGTATGAGCAAGCCTGCTTTTGTCCCAATCATCCTGTGCCTTCCAGAAAACCTTTCCTCTGATGTTTTGTTCTGAGGCCCCAAGGGACCCCACCATAGTGTACGCTAGCATATGTGCAGTGATGTTTCAGTTTGCTAAGAATTCCACCTATGCTGTCCCACTAGTGCATCCCTCATGCAAGCCTGAGAGGAGGACAGCAGCATCAGCAACTCTGTTTCACAGGTGAGAAGACTTGGGTTCACCTGAGCTGAATTGTGACCATGAAGTTTCTGGATGTGGAAGTAGGATTAGGACCTGAGGCTCCTGGAGTGGAACATGTCACCCTGCTGCCCTGCTGCCGCCAGCTGATAGCGCTAAGGAGAGATCACTTCCTCCAGAGATCGCTTGCTCTCAGGTAGGTAAGACTCTAGCCACCCTCAGGGAGATACCATTACCACTCTTTTGGAAGAGGCAGGGGGTACCAAGAACTGAGAGCTGAGTTCTTGGGGGCCCCCTGTGAAAGACGAGAAGGTCTGGCTGGGAGTTTCTGGCTATCTGCTGGATGCCATTTGGCTTCAGCCCAGCCCTGGCTGGTGGGAAGGCTGGGGACTGGAGGCCGCCCCAGGGGCTGGTGCGGGTGGTGGCAGACGGAAAGAGTCCAGAAGCAGGACTTTGTAAGGAGAGAAGCTAGGGTGCCAAAGCCCTCCCCCCACCCCTCACCCCCCACCATAATCTGCTCTTATCCGTGGTGCAGAAAACTAGCTGCTGACTCCCCCTCTGAAGACCACGACATCTCCACGGTCCTTCCAGCCAGTCCGAAAGCGCAGGCAGCTCCTGCTGACTCCTCTCCCCCGCCCGGCTTCTCCCACTCTCCACCCTGGCCCTGCTGTTCTTCAGTTCCCACCCTGGCAGATCACCGATTAATTCAGGGCTGTTTAATAACCCTTCCATTTCGATGAAACAAGCTGTCTTGTTTTCTTTATTTTTAACACCGACTTTCGTTTCTTTGCTAAGCATCTTACTGTCATTTAAATTTCTCTGTCTCCAACCAAGCTGATAATAGACCGGAGTGAGCAGCTGCTTCCGTCCTGTTTATGACAATGATTAGAAGTTAGAGCTGTGCAGGCGGAGAGCTGACCAAGTCAGAGCTCAGAGGGGTCTGCCCTGCTGTGGAGGCAGTGCTCCTTTCAAGGGATGAGGAGGATTCTGGCTCCAGGGGTGTCAGGGCTCATCCCAGCCTCGCCTTCCAGGCACCCTGCTCTGAGGCAGGGCGTGGGGGTGAAGGCATGAGGATGAGATCTATTCACCCTGGGACTTGGGCCAGCAGCTGCAGGTCATTCTCCTGGGCCTGGCCCTCAACTTCCCTTCTCAAGGGAGTATTTCTCTCCACCAAATTTACTGAGCAGCAAACAGGAAGGCTCAAGGGGAGAAGCCCTGGACGTGTGTGGGGATCGACATCACCTGGCAGACCTTTCTGCTCCACATAGGAATCCCTTCCTGAAACTCTGCTCACCATCTTCTAACCTCTGAATTCCCCCAATGGTGTAGGGCTCATGCCCTCCCTAGATGGCCCCTTCCAGGGTAGATGGCTTTGGTTAATCTCTCTTTCTTCTGTCCTCCTGCAATAAAACTACATTTCACCTGTGTGACCATTATCTGTGTGTGTCCCCTTTCTCCTTTGCCATATTGTAAGATCTTCAAAAGCCTGGACAGTAACCTACCTTCTTCCCATAATATTTGGCACACAGTAGAAGTCGATAAACATTTGTTCAATCAAATTACACTATGTTGCACCAGTTTCGGTCTCCTTGCAGGTAATAATAGATCTTTCTGTTACGTGGGCAGGATCCTAGTGAAGCATCCCATTTTTCCCCACCTGGACAGGTGTTCTACCTCTTCCGGTCCTGAGGCCGGAAATAGCTGCTACTTTCTCCTCCCTGCTCTGAGAAACTACACAGCTGGTAGAGACCTTGGCCCAGAAAGCTGGGGCCCTGTGGCAGAAGCCAATCAGGTGGCCTGGACCAGGTCCTCTGGATCCCAATTCCCCTCTCATTCCCTCTGGGTGGGTCCTGGCTGCTTGATAAAACTCACAGGTGCGTAGTGGGCAAACCCTGGCTGGCCCAACGCTTCCGCCTCTCTCCCCAGGCAGCCTCCCAGCCAGCAGTCTGCAGGCAGCTGCTCGGGTCATTGTCTCAGCCTCTTCAAGTTGTGAATGCTGAGTCTATAGAGACCGAAACACAAACAGTGCCCACAGCGCTGCCTCTCCGGAGGGAGGGGCGGCTTGGCCTTGCCAGAGCCATTGACTGTGCAAATAGCAAGGCTTGCTGAAGATGGAGGACAGCTGGTGGGAGCTGTTTGAGAGAGTGAGCCTTTCTACACCGCACTGCCCAGTGCCATGGCGAGGCAGTCTGTGTGTCCTAGGGCCAGCAGGCTGGCAGGGAATCAAGAGGTCGGGGCTCCGGGGAGCACTGCCCCACCAGGGGCTGTGTGCCTGCTCAAACCAGAGGACAGAGTTGGGGAGCAAGAGACTAAAAAGAGAAGGTGGCTAAGTGGGCAGTTCAAGAGAGAGCCCTGGGCTAGGCTGGGGCAAACAAAACTCCTCACAAATGGGGAGCAGTGAGTGGCCACTCGCTGTGTGACGCAGGGCCACTCACTCACCCCACTGGGACTTGGGTTTCCCATCTATTATGTGGGCCTGGGTATGAGCTGCTAGCAAATACTCAGAAACATTTCCCAAGTATTTCATGTAGAACCCCTATTTCTTTTGTAATTCAAGCTGTTTTCTTAATAATTGCAAAGGAAAATCGAGGCACCTGTCACACACACGGCCACAGCTGGCTCTCAGGCAGTGCCACCGAATGCATGGCGCTCTCCCCTCAGCTACCTTCTCAAGCTCTGCACTCCCAACAAGGGACAAGGTGCCTCTGCTTCAGCGGCCACGGGGGCACTTCCTGGGTGAGTAGAAGGCAGCTGATGCATGTCACCCAACGACCTGCTATGTTCTGACCAACGATTAGCACCGGCCAAGGATCTAATTCAGGTCCTGCATGGGCTCTGGGATTCGGCCCCTGCGAATGCTCTGTGTGCTGGGTCTGCTTCATTAATTGCTATGCTCCAAGGAGCTCTGCAGGAGAGATGCAAGCCTTACTGCAGCTAGGCAGCTAGAGGCCCACAAGATCTGCCCTGCCATGGGAGGTTGACTCCCAGAAAAATGCCAACTTACCAGTTCCAGACAATACCGTTCATCTCTACTCTTAGTGCTGCTGGCACCAAACCCCAAGGGCTGCAAATTCAAAATTCAAATCGCAGCCCCACAGGTTCAATGCTAACCATGAGCCGTGCAAGTGGGCCCCAATGCCAGGATCACCTTTGACTTTCCTTTTAGTTTCCAGGTGCTACTGAGTCTCAGCCTTTTATCTACTTTTCTATATAAAAACCTTGAGCCCACAGACTTTCTTTACCCTTATTTTCCTCAGAAAGTTCCAAACAAATCCAGAGGGAGAGAAGAGAAATATACTTTGTTTGGTTTTATTCTGCTCTAAATTTTAGAATAGTTTTGCATGTTTTGCAACAACTGACATTTTTCCAAATCTCCTAAACATCTTCCCAGACCTGGTTCCAGAAACAGGGGCGAGTGAGGGTACCTGGGTAACCATGAAAAGCATTCCTTCCCACTGTACAGATGGAGAAATCGAGGTGCTGGGCAAGGGGCCAGAGCCAACTCCCCCAGGGCGCCTGTGGCTCCCTCTTGTCTCCCTCCCAAGAGCAGGGAGCAGATGGAGGGCAGGCCCTGGGCGGCAGGTGAGAAATCGCTTAGGAAGAGGCAGGAGCTACGGGTGTGAGGAAGGCCCTTCGCGACCCCGCGTCAGGATCTTCTGACACCAGACCATCTGCTCTGACCCCTCCTAGCGGCCCCGCACAGGTGCCGGGAGTGTCTGCCCAGCTCTACACTCAGTCCTGACCATTTCTCCAAGTCTCTCACAGCAGGATCCGCTAGCCCAGAAAGCTGACGGGCTTCACACCCTGGGGGCCACTCAGAATGGGGCAGCAGCTCGAATTTTGTTAATTTCCGGGTAAACTTCAGGCTCATGTTTGCCATACTGAACCCCTGGTGGTGTGGTGTTTAATTCTAGAGAAGGAATTAATGTCAGGAAGGTCTAGGGGGCTGGAGAGTGTGGGGCCACTGGTCACGGGACTGTGAAGTCCTGACCTCCTCTCTCCTGGAAAACACCAGCACCACCGAGCTGGAGCGGAGACTGGGTAGAGCCTCCTGACCCAGAGGAGGGCTCTCTGGCTGGGGGCAGGGGAGGGGCTTGGCCTTCCTGTCTGGCTTCGGCCAGGGCTCCTACAGAGGACCCCAAAGTTCACAAAACAGGCTCTTCTCCCTCAGGGCTCTTTGTTGCTCAGAGGTAAAATGGGAAGCCTGGGGAACAGTCAGGCAAGGTGAGAGGTCAGAGGCCAACGTAATATTTACCCAGCCCAGTCGAGGCCTTTCGCTTTTATGAAGCAGGAAACCACTTCAAAGTGGCAACATCCCCTTCTTGCCACTTCTGTCTGCTCACTGGTCCTCCAGCCTTTCCAGGGCAAGCAGGGTGTTTTCTACCCACGCTTCCCCTCCTCCTGAGCCTTCCACCTTCTCCCCCTTAAAAGGGAGGAGTCCTCTGCCCTGCCTCCTCTCAGACAGGTGCTGCAATAAGTCTCTAGTTGCACAGCAATTACAACACCTGGGTTTCCTTGACATTCTGAGGCCCTATTGTCCTTGGATTTCTCCTGTTCAGTCAGAGTGAGGTGACTACTGCTTTGGGACATGGGGCAGGTACTGCAGTTACAGCTCCTCATTGGAAGCCCCCATTCCACCCCGGAGCAGAGGGCTGAAACTGAGGCTAGGAAAAAGCCCTAGACACTAGAGTCTAGCGGGTCATTACATTTGGTGGGGGTCATAAACTCCTTCTCTTTGGGAACATGCATATGTGTCTGTTTATACACACACACAAACACAAACACACACTCTATATATTTCTTGAAAGCACAGACTTTCAAGAGGTTCTAAGATCTCTTAAAGCCCAAGCTTTAAACCCAAGCAGACCCCTGAGTTCTCCTGAGTTCTGTCCATTCTAGTGCAGGGTCTCCCCAAACCCAGATTTGTTTTGAACATTTCAAGAAGCAAGAAGAACACTACCTTCCACTATAGGATTAGAGAAAGTTCTTGGGTTGAGTTGAAATCTGCTTCCTTTAAACCCCCTCCATCAATCCTCCGCTGTCTTTTTCTGCATGGAAACTTTAAAAGTGAGTGGTTCTTTCTCCAGGTAGCAACCATATGGCAGAGGTGGCACGGGGAGTAGGCTCTTCTGCCCAGACAAGGTGTAGAGGTAGAATCCGAATTTTTTTCTTTTGGTGGATCCATTTAACAAGTTCATTCAGATAAGAGTGGGTGACTTAACAGCAGGGTTCTAGACACTAACATGTGCATACAGATGAGTAATAGTATTTCCTGATGAACCAACCATACCAGCCTCCACACTGCTAACTCCAGGAGACCGGAAAGGGATGCAATTTACATAGAATACAAGGTAGAAACCCCTTGGGACTCTGCAAGGTGGAGATCTTGCTCTAGGATGTTGACTAATAGAAAACTACAGTGTTGTCAGTTTAAAATCCATGGAGGAGAATGAGAAAAAGAAATGGTTAGGGGTAGTTCCAGGAGGCTGAAGAATGAGCCTTAGTCATTCTTGACAGTAAACTGTGAAGTTCTCAGGCACCTGGGACTCTCACCTGGAAATTCATCCCTTCTTCCACTGACTACAGCAAAAGCTTCCAGGAGCTTCTGTGCCTTTGCTTCTTCCGACTACCCAGCATACTGTTAACTCCATTCTGCCCTACACAAAAGTTCTTTGAGGGTCCCTGGCTTTTTAATTCTCCCCCCCACCCCACCAGGATAATGTAAGTTTTTGAAGGCAGGATCTATTACTTTTTCATCTTTGTACTAGGCGCTACTATGTTCCTAGTACTACATAAGAGATCAGTTTCTATTTGTTTAAATGAGTCCAATTCCTGTTCTCAGAGCCTTCCTATTTGGTTCAGGGCCAGGCCAAGAAGTGGGGTGTTAACAATTCAAATGTGAAGATTTAAGTTGGAGGGGGGGCTGTTTTCTTTCAGCCCTCAGTCTTCTTGTCCCCCCCATACCCAAAGCAGAACCTAATGTGGGAAGGGAGGCTGCTGAAATACAAGAAGGGAACATCTGGGAGTTTAATTCCCCAGACAGTGTAGGGAAGCACCGTCCCTCTCAGAGCTTTAGAGAGACCGCGTGTGCTGGGGGGGAGCAAGGGGTGCAGGGGAGAGAGGTTCCCTCACAGGGCTGTTCACTGGAGCCCTGGGACCCCTCCTCCTCCATCTTCTCAAAGACAAGTTGAACTTTCCTAGGGCAACTTCACTGCCTTTTATCTTTCATACTGAAAATAATTTAAGCCTAGGAAAAGTAGGATTAAACTTTCATACCAAGATACATTTATCTTGTTTAGCTTTTTTCTTTTCTCTCCCCTCCCTCCCCTCCCCTCTTGGCCCCAGGTCAACCTGAGCCAGAGGGAAGCCAAGATTAAAATATCAGAGGTTGATACCAGATCTGAAGAGATGCTACTTTCTGGCCCCCTGCCCATCCAAAACTTTAATATTTATCCACACCTCTGTTAGACACCTATTATCTCCTCGGATGAGAAAAGCATCTGGACTCTGCTCTCTCTCCATATTGTCCTCCACTGAAATGAAA